ACAAAAAAAAAAAAAAAAAAAAAAAAAAAATCCAGTTGGAAAATGGGCAAGAGACATAAACAGACATTTCATCTAAGAGGATATATAGATGGCAAATAAATACATGACAAGATGTTCAATAGCATTAGCCAACAGAAAAATGTAAATTAAAACCACAATGAGATGTCACAACATGCCTATCAGAATGGCAAAAAAAAAAAAAAGTCACACCACCAAATGCTGGTGAGGATGCAGAGAAACTGGGTCATGCATACATTTACACTGATGTAAATACAATATGGTGCACTCACTCTGGAAAACAGTTTATTAAAACACTAAACTTGCAAACAACATATGACCCACCAATTGTTTATTTATCCCAGAAAAATGAAAATTTATGGTCACACAAAAACCTGTTCGTAAATGTACATAGCAGCTTTACAACCAGCTTTCCTTCACCAAGAGAATGGTTAAACAAGCTGTTTATGGCCACACCATGAACTACTATGCAGCAATAAAAAGGAACTATTGCTTACATGTGACTGAATGAATCTCCAGAAAATTATGCTGAGTGAAAAAAGCAAATCTCAAAAAGTTAGACTAAAAAAAAACAAAAAAGATTTGTTCATAGAGGAAATAAAAAGGTTATAAGCTATCTGATTCCATTTATATAACAGTCTTGAACTGATAAAATTATAAAAATGAACATATTTGTGATTGCCAGGGGTTAAGGAGGGGGTGGGGGCAGGAGGTGAGTAGGTGTGGCTCTAAAAGGATAACACGAGGGATCCTCATGGTGCTGGAAATATTCTGTATCTTGACTGTATACATGTCAAAATCCTGGCTGTAATTTCATGCTATAGTTTTTTAAGATGTTACTATTGGGGGAACACGGTAATGGGCCCGTGGGATCTCCCTGTATTGTTTCTTATAATTTCATGTGAATCTACAATTATCCTAAAATTAAAAGTTTAATTTAAAATATGAATAAAAACATGTCTCCAGGGACACACATTTTTCTTTATGCCTCAGACTCCAATATGGCTCAGCACAACACTGCCTGCAACTGACAAGCATTCCATCTTGCCTCTTCTCCTTGACTTGCCCAGCAGAGTTGGGGTACACAGTCTGACTACAGAATGGATTATTTGAAGACAGGACTTTCCTGGGAAAGCTGCGCTCTGAATACCACCAGCCTTCCCACTCCTTTATTACTCTCAATCATTCTATTTTTCAGGATCTGGCCCCTTATAAAGCTGACATAAAGGGCCATGTTTCCCTCTCTTTAGGCAGGGCATCTCTAAGTAAGGTTCCAGGATTCCTGATGTCACAATCACCCAGGATGCTTGTCTCAGTGACTGTTCCTAAGCCTAAAGGAGTAGAATTTTAACCAGCTCCCTAAATGAATTCTAATGCACACGTAAGTTTGAGAACCAATGTGGCTTGACTTGGTTCCTAAAGTCAAGATTTTCTGGGGAGGCACAAAGAGTTCCCACACTGGGATGTTCTCTAAAAGGACTTTCTGAAAGGGAAGAGACCAAGTGGGGACCCCTGTGCCAGCACTGGCTCCTGTTCCAATGAGGACACAGACCACCCCCACTCTGGGTCCATTGGCTGGGAACTCACCGCAGTGTTTGGCTCGATGAGGCGGTGCTGCAGCTTCTGGGCATCCTCCCATTGCCCTGTGAGGCAGAGTCGCTCCAGCTGGCACACCTGAGCCCCCAGGACATTGGCCAGGGCACACACGCCCCCCACAGCTCCTGCCACAGAGTAAGATGCAGAATACCAGCCAGAGCCTCTGCCTGCAGAGAATTCCAAATCCTGGTCCCCAGCGCCTCTTTGTTCTGGGCAGACAGGCTGTGCATTTCTAGGCCACTGGTTAGCCGTATCTGAGACATGCTCTGTGAGTTCACAGAGTACAGATTTCCAGAGAGAACATTTCCAGCATATTCAAAATAGACTCCCACAGGCTGAGGGGCAGGGAGCAGAGCCTGAAGGCTAACTCAAGGACAGCTCCTTCCCTGCACACCCCTCCCTCCACCCCCCACCCCCCTGCAGAGTAGAGTCCCACCTGCCAGTTGACACCTCCACGATCCTCCAATAACCCCCTGACTCATCAGCCCTGGAAGGGGATGGAGTGGATGGGAAGCCTTTGCTCTACTGAAATTTTATTCCCCCCAGTGAATTCAGCCTGGGACAGCAGTGAGGGAGAGGTTAGGGGAGGGGAAAGGGCAGTAGACATAGGCAGGAGACCTGGCATTTCCTCCCACTGGCTGCATGAACTTGGACAAGTCATCAACCCTCTCTGGTTCTCTTTGTTCTCATGTGGGCAGTGAAAACGGCCTGGCTGTGATCTCAGAGGTTCCTGCCACTTCTGCCAGCCTGTGAGTGTGATTTCAAAGCTGGTTAGGGGGTGACTCAAAGCAGAGTGGCCTCAAGACTGGAGAGAGAGTAGGCATTTCAAGCTAATGCTAATATAGCTCGAATGAGCTAATATAGATGCCATTTATTGAAAACCTACTATGTGCCGAGCACTATGACAGACATAGGTCAAATGTTCTCTAATCCTCATAACACCTCCCCGCTTTGCAGAGTAGAAACTCAGGTCCAGAAAGGTCATGTACCTTGCCCTGTTGGTTCTCAGTGAATAAATGAAAGAGCTCAGATTCCAGCTCAGATCCCCAACTTCCAGAGCCTGTGATATTTCCACCTACCACACTCCCAGGAATGAAGCATAAATGGGTCCCTTCTACTCTCCCCTTTAGAGACTGTGACAAGGCAGAGGGGAGCTATGCAGGACCTATACTACAAGTCAAAGTCTGCAGAGACAAGAGAGAATAGGAACCAGCATTTTCCCCTGCATCGTTGGAAAAGTAACTCAAATCTACACTCACTGGGGCTTCAGCTGAAGGGAGCAGATGCTTCCCTCACCTCCATGGCTCAAATCCAGTCTGAACCCAAGGACCTTGACCCCAAGCAGATAAGAGCAGTTGGTCTAATGGTGACATTCCTAGGATCCTGGACTGGAACAGAGTCTGATCAGGCAGCTGAAGATCCCCAGCCCAACCCCACAGGCCTGACAATTCATTCTGGCCTGGACCCACGGAGAGAGGAAAATGCACTCCCAGACTACTGGGAAGGGCCCCAAGGCCTCTTCCCTCAGAGAATGATTTACAAGGTGAGATTAAAGGAGCTAAGTTTGTCACCTAAGCAGGGAGCCTGGGACTTAGAGCAAACTGTAGGCATCCCCCCTACAGGCCAGGGATTGTACTCAGCCACCCTCCTCTGCCCAACAAGGTCACTCACAAGCACCCACTATTCAGATAAGTAAGCAGTGTGCCAGACCTCTGAGGTTTCTGAGCAGGCAGGCTGGCAAAGGCCCCCTCTACACCCAATCCTGGCCCTCACCATCTCTCCCAGCAGAACACAGCTGCCTGCGTATATCTTGGTTACGCATCACAGTTTGAGAGCAGTGAGAGGCCTACCCACGGCATAGCTGGCCAGCAGGAAGCCAGCCGATCCAGCCAACACCTGGAAATCCTGCCTCCTGGTCTTGTGAACAATCAGCCCAATCCTGGTCACCTGTAATGGCAAACCTGGTGTGAGAGCTGGGCCCACAGGCTCTGCCACCAGCCTGGATGAGGGCTGGGCAAGTGTGGGAGCATGAGAGCCCAGGTCCCAGAGAGATGCCTCAAAGTTCAGACGAACCCCAGAGAGCCCACAGGACAGAGGGAACCCACACACACAGGAGCCCAGGACTGAAGCGGGTCCCAGAGCTGCCCGGAAGCTGGTAGCAAAAGAGAAGAGGAGGAGGGCGCCCCAGCCGAGAGCTGCTGCCGCTCACATCACCACCGCTGTCCTTGATGCCCACGATATTCGGGTGCTGGGAAAGTGTGACCACCGCATCCACAGGCAGGTCCAGCCCCGTGTTGGCTGGGACACTGTAGAGCACCACGGGAATTGGAGACAGGTCAGCAACCTGAGGGGCACAGAGAAGAGAGGAGAGGGCAGCTGCCCCAGGCCTGAGGCGGTCCGGGCTTGGGTCTCTGCAGGGCTACCTGGACTGGCCCACCTGCTGGGCTAGAAGTCACAGTGCTATGCATCCTGATTGCAAGCACTAGTCCTGGCTAACACTTAGGAGTGCTTTCTGTGTGCCAGGCACAGTTCTAAGTCCTTTATGTTTTGATTGAATTTAGTCCTCACAACCACCCTGGAGGAAGATTCCATTATTCCTCCCATTTGGGAGGGGAGGAAACAGCAATACAGCTTGGTTAGGTCAGTCACCCACTGTCACACAGCTGGTACCTGGTGGCATCCCTCCCCTTTCCCAACGCTGCCATTCATGGGAAGTAGGCTCACCACTCTGCTCCCAGCTTCTCTCATCTCCCCTCCCCTCCCCAGGCAGTATCTCTGCCTCACCCAGCTTCCTCTTGGCCCCAGACCTCAAGCCCACACCCACCCCTCACACCCACCTTGGTGTAGTGGTGAATGAGGGCGGCGCTGTTCATGCGGCCGTGATAGTAGCAAGGAGTCACCACCATGGCGGCGTCAGCCCCGACCTGGGCCATGCTCACCGTCATCTCCACCGTGGCCTGAGTGGCTGCAGGAGGAAGGAGGAAGTCTTCCCTACAGGCCGCGGTGGGCGAGGGCAGGAGGCAGAGGACTGGGCTAGGACCCTGGGGCAAGCAAGGGGCGCAGCGCAGAAGAGACAGAGCAAGCACTAGACCGGACCCAGCCCCAGGTCAGGGAGCCCACCCCCACCCCCAGCAGCTACCGCCAGGGCCGGGGCATTAAGGCCTCACACTCGCAGCCCGAGCCGGCTAGCAGGAGCTTGTCCCTGGGCAGGGCCTGGCGCACGCGGCTCACCACCTCCAGGCGCTCACTGCTGGTCAGGAAGGGGAACTCGCCGTTGGAGCCCTGGACCACGAAGCCTGCAAGAGAGGCGACACCTTCCCACGTGCTTGTGAAAAAGCGGATGTTGGACTTATGCTCACCCAGGCTCCTACCTCCCCGACACGACAGTTTATCACACATTTCCTTCCCATCTTCGTCCTGATGCAGGCAGAGCATGCTACCCAGTTGCGGTGACAGTGTTCACACTATTTTTCTTTGTTTTAATGAGATATTTTAGGCATGCCAAAAAGAATAGTTAATAATAGAATCCACATCGGTGTACCCAGCACCCACGACACCCGCCCCCCACCCTGTCACCATCCTCTTCCTCATCTCTGGCGTGTCTCAAGTGGTTATTGTTCCCATTCATGTCTTTATACCCTTAAAACATACATCTGGACCCATAAACAATGTATAAGATGGGTTTTGCCGTTTAAAACTTTATAGAAATGGAATCACACTTACATAACATTCTGCAGTTTGCCGTTTTTGCTCACCATTGTGTTTTGCACCTTGGCCACAGCAGTACAGGGAGCTCTGATTTATTCACTTTCATTGCTGTATAATAGTCTCTTGTGAAGTTAGACCACAATTTACTTTTCATTCTCCCTTTGACAACATTTAGAATACATCCTAATTTTGCTATTACAGACAATGCTCAAACAAACACGTTTAAAAGCTTCTCTCAGTTTAGATACTTAGGCGTGTAAAGGCTGAGTCGCATGTAAATGCATCTTCACGTGCCAAAATTCTAATTAGCCAGTTCAAACCCCAGCAGCACATAGAAGAAACTGTTAGTGCTCATCCACAGCAATACTGAGTATTGTCAGAACTAATTTTTGCCAATTTTCTGGGTGGAAAATGACGTCTCTTTTTTTTTTTTTTTTTGCGGTACGCGGACCTCTCACTGCTGTGGCCT